CTGATTTTTACAGGAATTATTACCACCATCCTATCCACAAAATACAGATAAGTCCTCAACTTGCGACCACAATTGAGCCCAAAACAGATGTCGCTGAGACATTTGTGAAGTGAGTTTTGTCATCTTACGACTTTTCTTGCCAAGTCTTTTAAGTGAATCGCTGCAGTTTTTAAACCAGTAACACGGTCGTTAAGTGAATCTGGCTTCCCCATTGACTTTGCTTCTCAGGAGGTCGCAAAAGGGGATCCTATGAACCTGGGACTCTGCAACCGTCATAAATATGAGTCAGTTGTCAAACATCCGAAAGCAAATCACGTGACCATCAGGATGCGGCAACGGTCATAAATGTGAAAAATAGTCGTAAGTTTCTTTTTGGAGTGCTGTTGTAACTTCAAATGGCCACTAAACAAACAGTTGTAAGTTGAGGACTTCCTGTAGCCATTGTCTTACTGGACTTTCTACAGGTAGTCCTCGACTTACAACTGTTTGTTTAGTGGCCATTCGAAGTTACAACAGCACTACAAAAAGAAACTTACGACTATTTTTCACATTTATGACCGTTGCAGCATACCGATGGTCACGTGATTTGCATTCGGATGCTTGACAACTGACTCATATTTATGACGGTTGCAGGATGCCGGGGTCACGTGATCCCCTTTTGCGACCTTTTGGCTTTTTTTTAATCAATAAACAAACACGACCGCCACATTTAAAAATAGCTTTTTCATGAGCAGCGATATGGCCCTCCCACTTTCCAATTCGCAGGATAAAAATGTAGAAGATGATATACTCAATTTCAATTTAGTTTATTACAGTCATAGACTAGGACACCGGAACAAATAGAAACACTCAGTAAATAGACAATTAAAATTCTAGTATGAAATAATAAATAATAGCTAACATTGATGATAAAATCCAGTCTGTCAATTATATGTGGTCCAACTATACTAAAATTCCAATTCACAGGATAAAATGTAGAAGATTAAAAACGAACCAGTTACAGCTTTGCATCATTTTGGGAACAGGGTTCAACCCTTACCTGGAATATGCTGGCTCCGTAAGGGGTTCGCCAGGCATTTAGCAAATTATCCTTCCCGGTGCTGACAAACCATTTCCCTGTATGTGAGAGAAACGGAAGCGAGCTTGTGGGTCTCTTCAAGGTCTGATCCCGGTCAGCTTTTTTCCAAGTTCAGACAAACTCAGTTAGGGAGTGTGTTTGCAACTAGCTATATGATGGTTCTGGGTAATCTAGGGCAATATGCAGTAAAATCCATCAGTTACAGCAGCGTTTTGCAAACTCCACCATTTTAAGACAGGTGGACTTCAACTCCTAGAATTCCCCAGCCAGCTATGCTGGAAGTTGAAGCTGAAGCTGAAGCTAGAATAGAATAGAATAGAATAGAATAGAATAGAATAGAATAGAATAGAAATAATAGGAACAGGACAGAATAGAAATAAAATAGAAATAGAATAGAAATAGAATAAAAAAGAAGAGAAATAGAAGAGAAGAGAAATAGAAACACAGAATAGAATAGAATAGAATAGAATAGAACAGAACAGAACAAGGAAAGAATAGAATAGAATAGAATAGAATAGAATAGAATAGAATAGAATAGAATAGAATAGAATAGAATAGAAAATAGAATAGAATAG